AGAGCTCCACCAAAACGTTTCAAATCAGTAAGGAAACCTCCTGAATCGGCCAATGCCGTAGTCGAAGTTTAATGAATCTTCCTCGAGCCACGGTATACAAGTGTATTGTTGAAATAGACATATCGCAAGCAATATCCAACAATATCGATTATCGTGCCGCAACAACAGAATACATGTGTTTCATGTCGCAGTAATGTAAATTTTCTTTTTAAAAAATTGACATTTTATGGTGACCGATATAACGCTGAACATGCCACGAATGTTACTGTTATGTTATTACTGCCTCATCCAAATTAAAAATATCGGCTCCGCTACGCTTCACCTCGATTTTTAACTTTTGACATCGGCAGTAATAACACTCATAACATTTCGAGGTATGCTAATAGCTATTTTCCCCCAATAATTCGACAGCATATTTTTACACAATTCCATTTCATAAATCACAATATTCCATGTATAATAATGTCATATGAGGTGTAGGAATTAGCTTATTATTATATTATGTACCATCATAGATGCTTTGAAACCAGTGATACGGCAGAATGTTTGTCAGAGAGTATATATTTTATTCTGCTAGAAAAATATTATGAACCAAAATCATCATTCATTGAAGTAACCAAGAAAGTTTAATGTATTTTAAGGTAATATAGATGCTTTAAGGCCATTAACGCTGAAAATATTTAAAATTTAACCCCCAAAAACGTATGTTATGGCGATAGAGTATTATGTTACGTATTATGGACTGAAAAAAATATGTTGAAATCTAATCTCTACATTTGTGTTCTAGTTCTCCTAGAGTAGAATTGCAACAAAATGTTATATTTTGATGGTTGGATTTATTTTCTGCAGTTGTGGCCTTATCCATATGTAAAATGAAGCAGCTCTGCTGCACTGATACTATGTTGTACGATGTACGAATGTGTATAATACTTTTTTTATAATCTTAAAATATTCACATGTTCGGCAAAACAATAAGGTTTGTGGTCATCGTAAATCATTTTTGGGAATAATCACTAGAATCATGTTTTTAACTACGGAAGGAACTTTTGGCCACTAAGTACAAAGAGTACTTTGAAAGCTGAATAAATTTGCAATTCACTTTTAAGAAAGAAGTGTAAATTGGCATGGTTCCTTCAGCAAGGTTGTCGTGGTTGATTGTAGCAGGTGCTCACTGTGTAAATGCGTGGAACGGAGTACTTACTATTCAATTGACGTGTTTTCTTGGATTGCAGCCCGCGATGGTTAATTTCCGCAGCGCATGTTTTTTATCACTTGAGTTTTCTAAACCTTCTAGAAACCATTAAGAAGTTCTTACTACTGCCTACACGATAAATTAATTTTGAAATCAAACTAATTACTAAGGTATAGGATGGTGTGGTCAGGGCAGAATATAGGAAAACCTACGTATAGATACTGTATTTTACTATTTATCAAGTTGTCATCGATTTCATAAATAAACAATAAACATCTCTTTAAATAACCTTTCCAAAAATGGTGTCTTAAACGCGTAAACTTTCATAATTTACAGTATAAATTTGCAAGTTATGTGAGGCAAGTACTGTTTACCGCAAATTACAAACATGATCTCTATTATCTTTGAAAATGATGTAGGGTTTTTTTCATACCAACGCCCTTTTAAATTCAAATAAGCAACATAATAATCTCTTTTTACGTTACCGTACAGTACACAATGTTTTAACAAGTGTTTGATCTTCTTTTGATAATTTTATAATGTACTGTAATTGTATTATTTTGGGCAAATTTTTTGTAGATTATTTTCTCTTGAGATTGGATTACTGTGACTCTCAGACAATTATTGTGAAGGAACGAAAAAAATTCTCCAAATGAGATTTTCCCGAGCTCTGCGCGAGAGTCAACGATCGATCGCCCGAAATCGTGGAACGATTTCAATGTGTTTATTAGAAAACAAATACTTCGATGTATTCAACAGAACACCCCAAATATATAACGATGCTTCATTTGTAATGATTCATAGGAAATACGACACGAAAAAGAGCATTTTACAACGTGCATAACATATATCATACTATGATGTAGTTAAGTGAAGGTAATATAAATGTCATAAAAACGTATATCAAAACAAGGGAAATAAATATTTTTAAATGTTCCTTATATTAAAAGTCTTGAAGGTGGAATCGTGTTTTGTGACGAGTAGAAAAACGTAACTCTCCCACTTCTCCACGCTTAACCACACGTCCACGAGTTGGCGAATTGGTTGGCTGGTGACAGAGAAATTGTGTGAACTTATGCCAGCCAATAAGCTCCCTTCCGGTATGATGCAAATATGCTCGAAATCGCACCGTACATCCTAGGTTAGCTGCGAATCCCAAATACACTCAGAGAAGAAGAAATGAGATAGTAAATAAATAGTGAAATATTTTAATGTGATTAATTTAACTCTCCACATACATACACACGCGTACAGACACTAACACCGCGCCAAGTGCTTTGCTCTGATGATGCTCATTCAGTGCAGACAAGCTTTAGAAGGCACCGCAGGGCGGTTGTGCCTTCAATTCATTGACAAAGCAACTTTGCCGTTATAACGACAGGAGGGGATGATTAGGAGAATTTTTACGGAGAGGCTTTGCTTTGCCGAGAGCTAACCACGGCGGTAACCGACGAAAGTCCATGAAAGGAGAAGCAGCTTCGCGCCTAAAACTACGTGATACTAGGAAGAAAATACACGTAATTTGTATTGCTCACCTCACAACTCTCTCATCCTAACAAAAACCTACACAAAAGTCCCCCTTAGGGCTAAATAGGAAGAAAATTAATTCGCCCCGTTTCGTGGACAGCCTTCCCAATTTGAAGTGTGTTAGTCTGCTGGTCGCGTCTTGTCGTGTGAGAGTATTTACTTTCGAATTTAGGAAATTATCTTGTACTGTGACTCCACTGTGTCCTTGAAGAGAGTAATGAAAATAAAAATTGAATGACAATCGTAATAGTTCATGAATATTACTGACCAGCATTCAATCTATCCGTTTCAAGAAAAATTTGAAATCGTAAAGGCAGCGTAAGCTTCAGCTGACGCTTCCTTAACTCAAAACGAACATAAAGAAGGGTACAGAAAATAGTAGTACTGCCTCTTTGAAAAAACAACTACAAGAAAGGTTGTAACAACAATCCAGTAAAAACAATAAACGTATTCTTGACAGTGTTTTTTTTTCCTTTGGAAGATAATAAGCAAATAATTTTCTACATTCTGGCTGCTTGCAAGTTTATTGTATTCTCTTCTTTGAGTTATCTTCGTAGATATTTACCAAATGTTTGTCATAAAGTAAATAATTTACGTAAATTTAGGCTAAATATGCTTATAAATCGAATACTGCAAAACTTCGCACAATTTCCGGAAATGTTTACTAGGTAATAGGTGAGCGGACTCTCAGGGCGGTATTTTTAATCACTGGCGGCGCGACGTGCACTTCCAAGAACGGTGGCCTCAATAAGAGTTCTGAGAGTCTCTGAAAAGAGAAAATGAAATGAAGTTTTCTTATAGAGCAGAGAGAATTTTTTATGGCTTATAAATTTCTTTATATAGTTTTCTTTGTATTAAGCTAACTCATTTTCTACGGGGTTTAATGGATATTAATTCATAAAATTAATTATTCACATAAATAGAAAATTTAAAAAAATATAAATTACATAATAAAACTATCATATGATTAAATCTCATCTGGATTAAATCTTGAAATATAAAAAGGAAAGTTTCTCATTTTCAATATTATTACATCAAGGATGAGATAACTCATTTCTTAAACTTAGGCTATTAGCTCGAAAGGCGTTAACTGTGAACGAAATCGAAGTACGACGACACAACATTGAACGACAGAAGAGTGGAGGTGGCTAATGGTTTAAAAATCAGAATTTTACAACATGTCGAGAGGAAGGTTTTATTTCTTCGAAATACAGCAATATTGCATTTAGAACTATTATGATATATGATATTAAGTTTCCCAACGAAAAACACCCAATTAGAGGTTTTGAATGTCATTTTTTCAGTAATCTAGACATTCAAATGTTTTGTTTCTTGTGGATCACATTCGTCAGAAAGGAAACAACCAACAAAATACTAAAAAGAATAGTATATGGTGACACTGTTTTTAGTTTATGACATAAAATAATACAGTTTAAGAGAAAAGTGTTCCCGTCCAATAATTAAGTACATTAAATTTTCTACAAATACCTCGTGACTAGAAAACTCCAGGCTTCTTATTTTTCATAAAGACAAACTTTTTCCTATTATTTTGGTTAACACAAAATGAAACTTGGTTTTCATTTTTCTGGATAACATTAATTTTCTTCTGCGATTTTTGTAAATCTGTCCTTAGCAGGTATTACAAGCGCAACTTTTCTTGAACGGTGACCTTGCTTCCCCTTCTCTGTCACAATAAACAGATGAAGGCAAAAGCTCGCAGCGAGCACTGATGACAACATTCCAAACACATCTTCACTGACGCGAAAAAAAATTTCTTTTGAATACGAGAACTTCTATCCGTTATTCTCTCCAAAAATCTAAAGAAATTACCGAAGCAGGGAAATATCTATTACAGGAGATACCTCGAACACCTGAGAAAGTTAGAACGCAAATTATTGAAAACATATGTTGTGAACGCATGACTGATTCTCCAGAGATTGGCATTTCTTCATAAAATCTAGTGGCCGATTTCGTAACTCTACCCGCATTTCTTCACTCCGTCGTTCAAGAAAAGTTGCGCGAGTAATATCAGCAGTTGACAGTTTCATCCAATCGGGAGCTTAAACATCACCATAGTGACGTCATTATGGTGAAGTTCAAGAAACAGTCAACAGCTGATACCTTCCAGGAGCAGAATTGTATAAATCGCAATGTAATTGTGATTTTCTCAGTTGTGTTCCTGGTCCATTGCTTCCGTTCTGCAGAGTGTAGTCCAATACCTAGCCCTTATCGAATGTTAACGAGTGAGTAACGTAGAATGCGCGTGCCAGCTGTTACCAGGTCCGGGGGCGGCGCTGGGGCCGTCGCTGGGGGCGGCGGGCAGCGTGGGGCTGTTCCACGACGCCGCCTTCCCCGCCGGCCCCTCCGTGCTGGACGCGGCCTCCAACGACGTCTTCACCACCACCTCCTGGCGGCGCCCGCACGTATGTCACACACGCGCGCACACACACTCTCACTGCACAGTACGCACCGAGGGCCAGTGGCAAGGCCGCAAGGTGAAGCAAAGTATTATAACTACCAAAACCCGGCTCGAATTCAACGGTCAACATACAACACAACAAAATAAATATATTTCGATTGAAACACGAAATCCTTTCAAAGTCACGTGTTGGCCGGAGAGGGCGCCACTGTCATCGAATCGCGAGCTTCGTTACGACTAACACTTTTGGTATTGAAGCTCCCGATTGCTTAACAGGGTCCTCCTCCCGTTTCAGCTCGCGATCTTCAAAGTACTTAGTGTTTTAAGTGAAGTACATTCGTTAAGTTGAGATTTTTCAATTAAGTTGGGAGAACAAATAAATTTGATAATGCTGCCGAAGAATTGTCAGTTAAATTTGTAGATAAGTGCCTGGCTTGAGTTTGCAACGAAGTAACATTATCATTTGATGTGCAATTTACACTGTTCTCTAAGGAACGTAGAGATATTGAAATTTATGAGGAAACATATGATGAGCACATAATGGTAGATAAGGATTTTGTTGAAAGCATTTTCCTCAAATGCTACATGAAAATGCCCCCAGGCGTTTGTGAATTTTAAGAGAGAAAGTGAGAGAGAACGATGGAGAAAATAGTTCGAGAGAGAAACAGGGAGAATAAAAGGAGGGTAAGAAAGAGAGAAGAGAGAGGGAGAGAGAGAGAGGAATTAAAGGAGGTAGAGGGAGAGCGAAAAATAGGAACAGAGAGCGCGAGAAGTGAAAGAAAGTTTGAGAGCGAGAGCGAGAGTGAGGGGGATGGGGAAAAGGTGTAAAAGAGAGATAGAGCGGGAGAGAGACAGAGAGACTTGATTTGAGACCCTCCGCGTGTGCATGTTGTGCGTGCGCAGGAGCTGAGCCCCAAGCCGCGCATGTTCGTGGGCGGCGCCAGCCGGAGCGACGTGGTGCAGGGCGCGCTGGGCGACTGCTGGTTCCTCTCCGCCTGCATCGCTGTGGCCCAGCACCCGGCGCTGCTCTGGCAGGTCAGTCCAAAACACGCGCACCACGTAAAACATGTTTCAGCTCCCACTGTATACTAGCGTATCCTAGCCTCTCTGGAAATTATTTTGATGTGAATAATATAACTTCATAATCAACAAGTAATCAGCACGCACTCTCTCGCTTCGTACTTACTAACGGTTATGTAAAGAGAGATTTTTTATATAATTACATACTTTTTGTCTTTCTACGTTATTTTAAAAGTTGTTGTCTTGGCGAATCAGGACAATCTTAATGCAAAGTTTTTCGTTAAATATTTTACATATTTTGGATTATAGTACATAATATTATGTCACATATTTTTCTTATCTTTTGCAAAACTTTTTAATAATACACTATTTCAAAAATAGTTTTTATTTTAATAAATCGGTTTGGTGTCTTTTGTTAGATATATTCTCAATTGCTTACTGACGCAATGTGGTCAATCGTCAAAACGAGGTCACAGGTCTCCACAGCAAAAGTGTTGCATTAAGTGCGTGTTAACAGTGAGAATATTATCTTTAGATACAGAAAGTATTACTGAGGTCAATTACAAGTAGCTTAATTTACATTTTCACTTTTTTTAAAAAGGGTTCTTTTTTCTTGAACTTTGTCCGCGGATAGTGGCGGACGTTTAAAATAATGGAGCCGATCACATTTTCGTTGAAATTCCTGTTGTTCTTTTTGTTGTTGTTGTTGTTGTTGTTGTTGTTGTTTTTAATTGCAAAAGTTCAATTGTTTTGGGGTAATTCCTACAACTGCAATATTCAAGAGAAAGAGTGTTCCTTACCGAAGACTGACCTTTAAAGACATTGAAGTAAACTTAGGAAATTTTTTTCTAAAATATGAGTCGTTTTTGCATAATTTTGCATAACTAATTTTTACTCGTTTTTTATTTTTTATTTAAATGTTTTCTACATATAGAACTATAGACGCTTAAAAGAATGGCACAATAATCATTTTCATTGAACTGTCTGAAGTTTTGGAAATTGCAAGTTAGAAATAATTCTTATATGTTTATGATGTTATAGCACCACTAGTTTCGTTACCAGGGCCCAACAGTGACATTTTTCCTTATCGAAGATTCCCAGTTTTGCAACCCTTGCGTGTGATTTCAATACTTTCTCTTCTTACGAAGTTGGAGTAAAAATAACACATTTTTGGTATCAGATACCAAGACGTTTATTTACCTTAAATCTCGAAATAAATTTTCTCCAGAGATCCCAAGCCACCATTAGTTTCTCTTATACTGCTATATATGCCGTATATACGTTCGATACGATAATTAAAAGTGATATATCTAGAAGCACACCGTTTCCTTAAACTGATCACGGCGAGGAACGATTCTGCGAACTGCAAACAATACGACACCATCCAATTCTTTCCACACTATAAAATTCCCCAAACGAAATTATAGTCATAAATACATTATAATATTATGAGTGAAAATCAAATATAATATCAACTATGATAAAAATTATCAGACTAACAGAGGCAATAACTGGTAATAAAGAATTCGACGTAACAACTATTTGATATCTAAACTGTAAAGAATTTGGAAAAAGAGTTCACAGATTCATGAACACTGCTTGGAGCAAAGTGCCATTAACAAGAATTTGGTGCTGCTGAGAGATCTTGAGACGCACTTGAGGAGACGATTGGAATAGCTTATTCCTTCTCCGTCGCCAACAATGTGTTTATTATGTTTCAGATCATCCCGCATGGGCAGGTGCTGTATGGGTCCGGATACACAGGCATGGTGACGTTCCGCTTCTGGCGCCTGGGCCACTGGGAGACTGTGCGCATCGACGACCGCCTGCCCGTCGACGACAACGGCCAACTGCTCTATGCGCGCGCCGCCCACCCGGACGAGTTCTGGGTGCCGCTACTGGAGAAGGCCTTCGCCAAGTGAGTCCCCTCCCCCTCCCCAACACACGCCCACACCGCACGAACATTCGGAGTTCCGCAAGGACGAGTTCTGTATGCAGCTCTTAGAGAAGGCCTTCGCCAAGTGAGTCCTCTCCCCCTTCCCAACACACACAACATACGCCCACACCGCACTAACATTCGGAGTTCCGCAAGGACGAATTCTGGGTGCCCCTATTAGAGAAGGAGTTACCCAAGTGAGTAATTTTTCCTTCACTTCCCAACACAATTACATAATTCACACTACATACGTCCTCAGCACTCTGATATAGGGAGTTCCGCAAGGGCAAGTTCTGGGTTCCGCTATTAGAGAAGGCCTTCGCCAATTGATTTCTCTTTCCCTGCTTCCCAACACACACGCCAACGTACACAAACACAACATGCGATCAAACCACATTTACGTAGGGAGTTCCGCAAGAACGAGTTCTACATGCAGCTACTGGACAAGGCCTTCACCAAGTGAGTTCTTTTCCCCCTCTTCCCAATACACACAACATACGCCCACACCACACTGACATAGTACAACCGCTTCTGTAGAAGGACATCGCCGAGTGAGTTATCTTCTCCCACTTTTAAACACAAACAATACACACATCATACACCTACATCACGCTGACAAGAATTTCCACAGCGAGTACAGAGAGCTGCTTCAGGACAAGGCCTTTCCCAAGTCAAGTCCATTCCACTCTTCCCAACACAGCCTACTTACGCAGAATAAAGTATTGTAATGTTGCAGAAAAACCGGCGTATTTTCAACAGAAAAATTCTTATTGGCGGGCCCTTCTAACGAAAACTGGATAAATATTATCCCTATATCTAGAAAATTACTTTTTCTAACACATATGTTCTCATAATCCACGTTTTGTGAGTCTTTGGCACCGAAAAATTGATTCACGTCAAAACTTCATCTGCGAACAACGCTAGCAGCTATACCGCAAGCACGAGTTTTACCAAAATTGATACTCTAATCGATCTGGTTGGTGTCGCGGCCCCCTTCAAATTGAAACCGATTTTTTAATTTTCGGAGGTAGTTTACATAAAACCCTTGGAAAATTTTTCGAAATTTACAAAAAAAATGGTGCCAAATTTTTGAAGACACTTTGACCTTAAATAGTGTAAAGGACGCTTACGAAAATGATCCAGTTCTCATTTTCGTTAAAATTCCTGATTTTTCGAAAATCGCAAAAATTCAATTTTTTTTCGCGTGTTCCTACAACCACAATTATGAAGATGTTTTTATTAATGAAAAGTGTTTATCAGAAAATGATCTTCAATTTTTCGAAAATATGAGTATTTTTCGCGTAATTTTGCGTCAAATACGCATTTTTTTAATTTTAAACAATTATTTTCTCCGAAACGATACCAATTTTTTTCTTAAACTTTTTTCTTGATCGCAGCAAAGAACGGTACAGAAGTCCTGCTGGTCCCATTTTTATCGTACTCTCTCTAATTTAACACTTCAAAAAAGATCGAAATAGTGAATTCGAATTCCCTGCGCTTCATTTGACGCGTTGTAAAAATGTCGTTTGCAATATGGCAATACGGTGCCTGGAAGTTGTTAGGATTTTTGAGATTGTTGGCGATCGTTTAATCTTACGATGTATATAACATTCTTATTACAGGAAGTAGCTTTAAGGATATATTTAACGTAGAACTAACCAATACATTTCATTTACTTTATGAAGTTATAACAGGTGATTATGGTATTCAGAAATTGTTATTTCACGTTGACGTAATCAAAGCAAGCTTGTATGAAATATAATTCCTTCTTTGCGGTATGTGCTGCAAATACTGTAAAAGTTTTTTTTGTTATTTAAAGTTGCATTAATATCTAGGTCATTAACGACCACTATTGCATATAACGGTACGGTAACTATGAGAATGACACGATATGATGATGATAGGGGGTGAAAGAACGAACACAATACAACCATGCCAGAGGCGGGACTCGAACCCGCGATCCTTCAGTCCATCGGGACCGGCAGTGTAATAATTATATTTATTCATTTGTATTGTAAAGTTAGATTGTTTAATATGTAAAAGTTAGAAATGACTACTGTTCTTGACACACGCGCTTCTTTTAAATGAGAATTTTTCAAGTTATAATTAAATTCTTAGTATGGAAGAAATTACAATATTGAGATATTACGTACATAAGTCCAATAATGTGAAAAAGTATGCTTTGTTGTAGCACCGCTATTTTTAAAATAAATTTTGTAGCTTAATGTTGGAATCAACTTCGAATATTTTCATGCTACAAATCCTCGCTAAAAAGACGGGTTATCCAACAAAAATATATTAGAACGTCCATAATAATAATTTACAGATTGAGCCTTATGTAAGAAACATAAGTCGTCGTCTTAAAGGCCTAGACATTACTTTTTCGAAACCATAATTTCAAAACTTTTAACTTTTCATGTGTGCGTCCTATCAATATTTTAGTCTGCATTAGTGCTTGTCCTTAAAGGCATAGTATACTTTCTGCAGGGGATACGGAATGAAGTGATAGTGGTAAAAGGACGAACACAAATACAATCATGCAAAAGGCGGGACTCGAACCCGCAATCCTTCGGCCCGAGAACGCCACGGCACTCGTGACTTAGCGATCTAGACACAGTTTTCAGGTTTATAGAGATTTTGTAGGCATGGTTGGAAGCGTTGCTAACCACTTTAATAGTTTCACGCATGACCGCTAGATGTCTCTCAAGTGTTGAATTGGAATTTTTTCGTCGCGGTCGTTTCAAATTTTTAATATATTTTTGGCAGAGCATATACCCACATGTACACATAGGGCTTGATAACTGACATGAATGTAGTGCTTTAAAGAGTTAAGTAATTCCTCTACAGTTGTGGCACACAGAATTTTCTGTTGATGAATTTTTGTACACGCATGTTTCGCAACACAAAATACGGTCTACTAAGCCAAAAGAACTTTATGTTTGATATAAATCATCCAGAAGGAACGGTGACATGAAAAAATTATGGCAACAGTCGTATGAACGGGACGAAAATGAACGTGAATTGAGGATAAAAGGATCCTGCATTATTAAACTGCTGAGAGGAACAATTGAATAGGCTAAGACCGATTTAGACAATATGGCCTTTGATGACGATGCATAGGTTCCATGGCGGATACGCCAACCTGGTGGGCGGCCGGCGCATGGAGGGGCTGCTCACCCTAACGGGCTACGTGGTGGAGGAGACGGACACGGGCGGCTGGGACGACGGCGCGCTCTTCGACCTGCTGCAGGAGGAGACGCAACGCGGCTCCCTCGCCACCTGCTCCGCCGTCGTGAGTACTCGCCCTCGCCCACATTCGCCCTCACGCGGCCGCGCCTAGTGCTCGCAAGTGTGTATGTGTGTGTGTGTGTGTGTGTGTGTGTGTGTAAGGGGAGAGGATAAGGATGCGTAAGAAAATGGCGCGCACCCGTAGCATGTTTGTTAGTGTACTACTCTGGCATTATCCTGGTATTGATCGGCGAAACCACGGAAAACTACTGATCAGAGCAGCCGGCTGCTACAGTTCCCTTCCAGGCAGCTCTTGAATTCGACCTAGTCATTTCGATTTTTTTAAACACTGTACTGAAATGTACTGCACCTTATCTTATTTCAAAGGGTATTGTTATGTCCAGCTTTAGCCCGCTAGTGTGCTTAAAATCCTCGGTGCTCCGGCCTGCTTCTTGTTATAGCTAAAGGTTCCGCTACTCACCGCTGGCGCGCTGCTCGTCGACCATTCCTCGATCGGCTACTATATTCCGAATAATACTTCTGCCTACTTGGTAGTTCCCGGTTGAGAGAGGAGAGGGGGTTCCGTTATCCAGTCAGAGGCATTAAATTGCCATGATGTCACTACAGACTTGCCGACGTTTACTAAGAAAAAAAAATGAAATCTCATAACGCGAAGCAACTGAAAATAATATATGTATAGTATAGTAGTATATTAATTACATCCACCTCAAAGGACATTTCTAATTTTTATCATTGTGCTAATGCATACGGTAGGACGCATCCTTGAAAACGTACGTAAAATACAGGTAAAGTCAGTATCTTCGAAACGTACTGCAATTGTTTGTAATTGTGAACGTTCCGTCAAAGCATGAATGTATCAAGTTTAGATACTTATCTCTTAAAAATCTTCCATAATACTATGCATCTTCTAAAAACGCGTGTCGCTGTACTTACATTTCATCTGCCTTGCGTGTTATGCAAATTCGTTATTCCTTGTTATTGGCGGGATTAGTGTAAGGGACTGCGATAAATTCGTGTAACAGAATTTCATGAAATAAACTAGTGTCATGCTAACAACTCTCCTATAAACACAATATATTGGGCGTATATGCCTCAACAGCTGATTAGACGCAAGAACGACTTCGTTAAAGTGGCATCATCGGTTCCCTCCACTCCCAGCTGTCAAGTCAAGAGAAGTATTATTCGCAGTATACATGCAAACATACGGAAATTTCCTTTACAAACATAGAATGTTTCAACTTAGAGGTTTTGAATCCAAGTTCTCAAGGCTCTCCATTACTTCATGAGTAACGACAGCAATGTTCTTCGCGATCACTGGTACAAAATATTCATAAATTATGACAATGACCGTTATTAAATGTACTGCGCTCTCGTCACACACAAGAAAACTGCTTCTTTGCAAAGCTGGCTTAATATATTTTTGAAGATTTCTTTCACACCAATCCTTGCAAGTTGTGGTATAGCTTTCACAATAAATTGCGCTACCATCAATTACCTTCAGGGTTATTTAAAGATGAGATTTATCTATTTAACACGTCAAGAATCACAACTATCTTGCCATAGTAAATAAATATTAACATACGTTCTCAATATTTTTCAACGTTAATAAAATATATACCCTTAAAATATATCACTCTTGGCTACCTAACAATTCAGTTTATTCTGAAAATTCGACACACACAAAAAAACACTCATAAATAGCACAAACAACTTCTGTTTACGATCGATGAGAACACACTGGCTCAAGTACTGGGAATGATCGTCTGATACAGCTTTGGATGTTTTTCGTATTGTAACACTCTGCAATCAAAATCGATATAAAGTGTATTTTCTCACAAATGTCATTGGAAGTCACGAGATGACAGATTGTTGATTTTTATTTCTGATGTCTGATATATTGCTGTATCATTGTTGTGGAATTTGGAAGCGGCCTACGAAAGTATTAGAAATAATTTCCACATTGTACATCAGTTGATCACGTCCATGAGAGCGCCAATAGGAATTTCGCCAGTAGTAAGTTTCTGGTTCTATTTCTAGATGAGAACGTTTTTGTCCGGTCAATAGTGATGTGGAGTGCTTTTTGATAAGTAAACTTTCCTGGATGTTATTTATATCAGAGCCCGTTGTCCATTTTGAACTAGTTTCTTCCAGTACTTTAGTTACTTTTATTCTTCTGCAATAAATACTTCTATTTTGAATATTTTTGAGCAAGTAATATAGTTTAAATAATCAGTAAAGTTAGAAAATATGAAAATAGATGGTATAAAAACTGATAAAGTAATACTTTGCTATTTTTTCGTTTTCAACAATTCTCTTCAAAAAGTTTTAAGGCATTATAAGCATTGTAAATACCTGAAAAAGCAGTAAATATTAGAAATAATTAAGTATAAATATTATATTTTATACGACAAAAAGAATTACTTCTGCTGCGTGACTAACCAGGTAGATTTCACCTACACCTATTTGATGGTTAATTTGAAGTATTCACTTCATAGTTTATTTTAAGCAAACGGTACCGAGATATTTAATTTGATTAATAATATTGTTTAGTTGCCATAATCATGAGTTTGCAATCATTCATATTACTGTATGTGACCAACATTGCCCGAAAAACGGACATTGGACTATGCATTAAGGCGGTCCGAAGGACTAGCGAATGATCGGCGACAAGCGCCCCAACGGCCACATTGTTAAGACTTCGTTCGTTCGCTAGCTTCCACAGGGATCGGCGAAGTGCCTCGGCTGTTAGACATACTAGCGGACTAGCTCCAGCATTTTACTATTAACTGATATATTATGCAGAAACCCGGATTAATATCTACAGAAGCTTTTGAACATAGCGAGACAACGGAGCTCCTCTTGATACCGAATATAACACAAATAATAGAAAGCAAAAGAGACGCATTTACTGAATTTTTCAAAGTAACCATAACCACTGATGATAGTAATAATAATAATATATAAATAAAATAAATATGAAAATACTCTGTAACGTTCGCAATTTTTTTAAATAATATTTTTACACAGATGAACTAATGAAACTACTAATAAACTCTACCCATGATCATTGAACAAATCTTATAATAAACCATATATAAACATGATGAAACATTAAAAATATGAAGATTAATAAATTGTTCACAATATTATCATATAACATTTCGGGAACTAATTTGGTCTTACGGACTTGGAAATATTTTTGCAAAACCTCCATCGTCACATTGGAATGTTTTCGGTGATCTTTCGTTTTAACGTCAATAATCTTTGGTTTAACTTCCGATCGGTTCTTAAAACAATATTTATATTATAATCTTGAGAATCTAATTTAAATGTATGAGTACAGAAATTACCAATTACTTTAGAATAAACCTATTTCCGAGATGCATTTTCATTGTTTTTTGGTGCAAACTGTTCATTTCCTTTCTCATACCTGATAGTTGCTTACTGGAAATCTCCATTCTGAGGGAAAGAAAACCATTAATTATTACTTCTCGGCAAAAACAGTAAACAAATTATTGAGAATAATAGATGTAATGAATTCAGACTGCATATAATTGTTCCCTTATTATACGCGCACATTCCTCTCTAATTGGCCTCCTACGAGGCAATGAGTGCGTGTTGGTAGTAATTCTCGCATATTGTCGGTCCCGCGCCACGCCCCAAACAGAAGCGGAGGATCAAACAAGTCGAGTTAATTGGCTCAGCCAAGGCCTCCGCTCCTTCGCGATCCCAGGCGGAAGTTCTGCTTTGCTTTTACCCATTAGGCACGTCCGTTTTCATTACGACGCTCCACCAACGATAGGCCACGTCTGGCTACTTGCCGTTCGGCATCTGGCAAGATTAATAAGACTCTCTGTCGGCTCATCTGCGAGAGAATAAACAAACTTTTCATCGCGAGTTAAGATAGTTTCGCAGCAGTTTAAGTAGTACTTACATGCCAGCCAATTATTCCTTGAAGTAGCTGTTTACTTTACTTTTAGCTTTACGAGTACTTAGGTCGTGTTTTCTATAAGCTTTCTTTGGAAGTCTACTGTGTTAATTTTATTTTTGAGATGTGATTATAGTACGAGCTTTAAGCACAACGCAAATATCATAAAACAAATAGCAAAACAGATCATCGTGTTTTCTTGTAAAGAGAATACAAAATTTAGGGAAACACAAATGAAACTTCTATTTTTGGACGAAGTGTGTGCTTTCTACAATGGTTATGACGGTAACGTTTGTCCATGGGACTCACAGTAACATGACAGTAACATTTGCATACAGAGACATAAATGAAATAATACGCTACAGAAAGAGATGAATGGTAGCAAAGACAAGCGTAGTCTTTAGGATATAATATTATTTGTAAAACTTATTTAAATCAAAGATACATAATATTTAGAAACAATTCATGAGACCATATGAATAGAGAATACGCTAGGTCTATTATCAAGGATTGCAGACCTTTTCAGGATTTGTATCAGAGAAATTTAGGAATCGAACCGCTTAACTTTTTGTAGTCTATACGTATTAATCTTCAGCCACAATTCTGAACAATCTCACGTGATCACTGCGATCTGAAGAGCATTCTCAATGGTAAACCAACTGTCAACGCTCCGTAGTATGTGGAATCCAGGCAAACACCACGGGCAGCGTCGCCCTAGCGATGACGGCCTGATTCGAGGAGTGGGAGCTCTGCACTTTACCATCGGCTCCGGGACCTTGACGACTATCCAATGCCCGTGCACAATGCTCGATCGTTTGTTTAGCAGCAGGGCGGAAATCTTCCATGGAGATGAAGCTATTGGCGAAATGAATAGCTATATCCTGAAAGGACCTTAATTCCAAACAATAAAAGATTTTTAAATAAGTTTAATAAAAGTTCAAATATTTTAATTTTAATATTAAATAAAAATAGCGCAAATGAAAGTGATGTGTGTGCTGCTGAAGTTGTCAACATGGCAGCGTATGTAGTAGAATTTCCGAAACGCAGACCGAGAGAGGTGGCTCAGGGCGTCAACTGATGTCATGGTAGTGCCTCTGACCGGCAGATCCTTAATTCGAGTCCCGACGGTGAAGATTTTTGAATCTAACTACATAGCTAGTACGAGTTCAGTTGCTGTCTGAAGGAAAATTCTAGCGGCCGGCTGCTGTGATCGGCAGTTCTTCCGAGGTTTCTCCGATCAATGCCAGGCGAATGACGGAGACTGACCCTCACAAACAGGACACGGACCTTCCCCTTTCTTGTCATATCCTCACCCCTTACTTACACACACGCACGCACACACACACACGCACACATGTACTACACTGCAACACATGCCGGGAGACTAGAGCTTGGAGCTTGTTTTTACTGAGGCGGTGTCCCGCTGGTGGGAGATACCTGGCTGGGGGAAAATCGCTAGCAGACAGTTAGCTCGGCGCCGGATCTCACCATCCAGCACAAAAAGATCACCTCCACCAAGAAGAAAAACGTGCACTACACTTACGGGACTAACGACATTATCAGTCGCTTAGCCCTGGAATCACTATCCATTCAATCAACCCGAAAGGCAGCGTGCCTCGCTGACGCGTCCTGTCGTGTGGTGCAGGGCCCGTTCCGCAAGGGGCTGGCGGGGGAGCACTCGTACAGCGTGACGGGCGCACGGCGCGTGCGCCTGCGCAGAGGCGCGCGGGAGGAGGTGCGGCTAGTGCGCGTGCGCAACCCCTTCGGCCGCTTCCCGGACACCGAGTGGAGCGGCGCTTGGCGCGACGGGTGAGTACAGCAGAAGCTCTCAACACTTGCTAAGTAGACAAACCTAAACTTTTGTTACCATGGCAACGGATTAGAGCGCAGCCGTCCCGATTGAAGATATGGATTATCTATCTCGGCTGTAAGGGTGACGCCCCGTCGACGGCGTGATGCTGACGTTTCGACCACTCCGAGGTCAAAACGTCGTCACTCTAGCCTTGAAGAAGACCACGATAGAGTGGTGAAAACGTCGGCATCACTGCCCTAGACGCGGCGTCACCCGGATAAGCGAGAACCTTCACAAGTCTCCGGTCGCAGAAGGAGCACAATTGCGGCACAAAATATTGTTCATTGTACGCACCAGTCAGAATCTCGAATCAAAACATGACCAAATTGGTATTAGCTATTTTGTTTGCATCAGATTCGTAGACCTTTAATATTAAGTTAGCATATGATAAAGTGCGCAAGTATTTCGTTGTTTCGAAAGATATGTAAATATCCTGCGATTAAACGGAGCGGCACTTCGAGGTCACCAGCTGCAAGGAAAGGGTGACATTCTCATCCCAATTAGAGCTCCAACTACAAAAATTTAAATCGTAATGAAGCCTCCGATTGGTTGACATTGTCTTCTTTCCGTCCAGCACGTGACCTTGAAGTGCCACTATGTTTCAATCGGAGTATTCAGCGTGTTCAGAATTACTTCTACTTATGTGCAACTGATGCCATCAAAGTCTCTAAATCGACTGGAGTTCTCATATTATTTTGTTTGCATTGCAGTGTGCAATGTGCATGTACATGAATCCATGGTGTGAGAGCCGCTGCTCAGGCCACGCTAGAATTGCTTCGTCTCTTCCCTTACAATTTCCTTTTAATTGTCATTTGTATTTTCATTTCTTTTCCAGAAAAATATTCAATGTTTTTCAATTTCAGGTAATCAAATCTTTTGGAAGATGTGTAAGCCTGTAAAATAAAATTATTAAATGTGATAATTTCGAAATTGTGGTAATGTGATAATTTCATTTCCTTCCTCTAAAATGGAAAAGACCATTCTCATATTCTAACTGTTCTAAATTTGTGAAATGTTTAACCATAAAATATTAATGATTGTCACAGTAAATGTTCTTGATTGCAATATTGCACATTCAGCTGTGTGGAAACGATTACTTATCTAATCGAAATTGGCATCTCAAAACAGTTACTGTAATTATAAAATAATTGTTAAATATAAATATTAAAGTTATTAAATATAATAATGGTACTCTCTCTTCAAGAAATTAAAATGTCTTCATCTTCATTTGAACTTTTAACTTGAGTAAGTTCACCATGAGAATAAGCATCGCATTTTTTGAAAGGGAAGGCATTTTGATGCAGGCAATACATTTACTCAGAAAGAACTCATTAAAGGTTATTCGAAAGTAGTAAAGTAGACTTTTCTTAATTAATTAGCAATTATGGCAGTCTTCAAACATAGTCATAAATAAATAATAATGAAAACATTACGTTGCGTGTACATCAAGTTCGGAGTACATTTGAGAAGTCTTCTATACGAAATGCTACGTAACTGTCACCTTTCCTTTTAATTTTAGAGAATGAATCTTGCTTTGTATGGGCGAATACATTCTACAAATAAAAGGATCGTCAAATCCATCCTTAGAAATTAAATGAATCCCTTTGGAACAAAACTTCGTTTTACATTTCATCTCCAACATTTGTTTGCACAGCGATTATCGATGGAATGATGTTGACCAGCGCACGAAGGACAGCATGCAGTACAAAGCGGACGAGGACGGGGAATTCTGGATGGAAGACACTGACTTCGCAAACTCATTCGCTCGCATCAGTTTCGCTATGAAGACTCCGCTTCTTGCTGGAGCTCCAATGGACGGCATCGAAAACGTAAGTGGACAAATGACATTTGCATAACATAGAACTAGAAATTGGTGGAAAATGCATTGTTATTGCTTGAAGAATAATGCGCTGCTGTTTTATTGTGTTCAAACTTTCTTAAATCTGTTATACCTGAATTGCATTTCCGTGTCCTAGGCTAAAGTGGACATGAACTCTCACATAGCATGACTCTGTCATCAATGCCTATAACTAAATTAATTGCCTCCTTGTTCCAAGACATAAGTTTCGGGATTTTAGCGTGGTTCCATTTTATATTACTGCGGGTCCAGAAATTAAATTTAGAACATTTTTACAAATTGATTTGTTCTGTATAAAAAACATTAATTGTTAATTTAGCGTAGTTTTTCTTGACTAACTATTTTTGTGTGGAGACATTCACGAAGCATTCTTTTAAGTTGTTTTTGTACAGGAAAAGAGAGCGTGTTTCTGATGAATCCACCTTTTTGAGATCTTTTAAGGCATACTTTTTATCTACGGATGGTGATGATTTGATGTCTGATTAGCACACCCAAAATTTATCATTTAAGTAATAATAATAATAATAATAATAATAATAATAATAATAATAATAATAATCTTTGTAACTAACATGTTTAAAGTCGTAGAAAACGATGTAAATTACAGTGATATTTATATTCACTTCTCATTTGCTATAATAGTAGTAAAGAGAGCGGCTGGCCTATCAAAAATTCTTCTTTCTACTTCGATGTAATTCTTACAATGATAATCACAATAATACTTACCTGTCTTATTTTCATTTATGAACCGCTGCCTTAAGATAAACAAAATTATGAATCTCACGGTATTTTCGCTAATAAATTGTCACACAAATATTCCAACTTCCAATGTATTACATGTATCATTAGCTGAGCTGCTGATATGTGAATTTTATAATAAAATGTGTAATATGACATTCTATGGAAAGTAAATTGATTACGGTAGTAAATAGAAATACAAAAAATCCACTGTATATAGCCGAATTATTTTTTTTCTTCAATTTCATTATTCAAATGAATACGAATTTCCAAAATAATTAACTAGTGTAATAGTAATAAGTAGTGATACTACAGAATGTCACATATTTTTATCGTACCACTTAGTTTCATTATCTCTTTAGTATATTCTAGCATTTCGGTTTTGCCCCACCCTTTTCCCAGCTGCAACCTATCGGCTCCGAACGTAGAGTTTTCCACATTTTCTCAGTTTTTCAGTTCCCCAATAGCAGAATCCAAATAGTATGACCTAAATAATATAGAAGAGTTAACTTGGTTGTATATGCAAATTTTTCTTAAAAAATTGAAGCTAATTATTAGAAAATGTCATTTGAACGTTTCTGAAAATGCACAATTTTGAGCATATTTTCACAGGAAAGTTTTGCGTTTTCAAGAAATTCCATCAAAATCATTTTAAGCACTTATACTGACCAAAGTAATAATGTATAAAAATCGCTTCTAAACTAAGTATTAACGATGTCGGATATTTAAAAAATGGCACCTGCGGAAATTCTGAGAAATCCCCTTGTTTTGTTTCTGGACGTAAAAAAGCTTCACTACGCGCAAGTTTTGTTGAACTCGCTTTATGCTTGTAGTGGTAGGAGGTAAGGGCAAGTTTTGGAGGAGGTAAGGGCTATTTTGTTAACAATGCAGAGAATAAAATCTGCAGTTCGTTTATCATTGCAAATAAGTTTTCTATAACTCGGGAACGAAAATGTTTAGTTTTTTAAATGTCGCTACTGTCGAGCTTTTTTAAAAATATTATTTATTTATTTATCTTTAACTTTTACTCATCTTTAAACTATTTATTGTTAAAATGATGGTAATGGATTCTGGAACTCAAGAAAATGTGCGCAAATTTTCTTCTCCCCCATATGTCACATACAGTTTTTACTGTTTTTTGATTGAATAAATCAAAAAATACACCAAAATGGCCTTATGTAAAATGTTATTCGGCATTCTCAGCACTATTTGAACATTAATTTTAAAGAAAACGTTTCGAGACTATTTGAAAAAATCTTGGTTTTAAAATTGCCCGCCTCTCAAAATTACAATATTCAAGAAAAATAAACGACATTAATTAAAGAACAAACTGTCTGAAGAAAAAATCTCCAATAATGTAGTTTTACGATTTGTGTCCAAAAAGTTAGGAACGTATGCAATACTTGAAAATTCAGAGTTAACAGTAATAATCTGCTCTTTCTTCTTACAAGAAATTTAAGGAAAAATATTCCAGCCATTTTGGAGAAAATCAGATCAATCAGATAATATTTATTATGGCAGGAACGTTAAATAGTAAATATCGCATCATTCTTTTGCCAGAATTCAGATGTGTTTTTATTTATTTCCAAAACAAGGCATATATAGACGCAAAGTATTTAGTTTTGTTTTTCATGTTTCTGTAGACTCTTTTTGTTTTAGCTTCATGTGTTGCGAGGCTATTGGCAAAAAGGGGTGAGCGCAGGAGGCAGCCAAAAGGATATGAAGAAGTTCGCCACGAATCCTCAGTACTCTTTGATTGTCAAGGAGACCGGTGAGTAATATAAGGAGTATATTTTCAAATGGGTTTTCTCTTTGAAATAAGAGGATAGGGTAACAGAGTGTGAATGTACACAGGCAGGCATTTATAGAAATTCATGTTACTGAGAAAACACAAACTAAATGTCTCACAATACTCTTGTAGTTTTCATGACTTGGACCGAATAGTATGCATTGATTTTTAATGTAATAATTATAACTACTTCGAATTTTTTATTGACTATATTTTGTAAGAAATGGAAACAATATTGAATGATTCCAATTTTTTGATACATTCACAACGAATTTGAAAGGATTTTCGGTTTTCGTATTAATATTTGTAATAGTTTACAATAAATATTCGTAATTATTTACAAAAATTGTAATAGTTTACAATTTTTTACAACCTTTTTACACCTATTTCATCATGTTTTGAATCTTGTAAACATGATAGATAAGTTAAACAACAAAAGAAATGTTACAAAAAAGAAATGAATGTAGATTGAAGTTTTTTCTGAATGCAAGATGAGATAAAAGATTTGTCGCACAGCATTTTGAAAATTCTCTATTAAAAAGTAATTTTTTATCGTTTACTAGTTCATTACTGTTTGTTTTTGAACCTGAAACAAAACACGTATAATTAATTCCCTTCCAGGCGTTTCGGATACATGCCCGTGCGGGTTTTTAAATGCTTTAAGTCCGCTCCGCTATCAACAGAACAAATAACATTCATTTTTTATTAATTAGATTAATTACACGAAATAAAAAGGAAGTTAAGTAAATAAGTGAAGTATTCTTTAATAAAAATAATTCGACAAACATATTTTATTGAATTAATATGAAAATTGAAATTTTGGTATGGTTTCATGCATTTAAAATTTCCATCATTTACTCATATTTCACTTTCACATATTATTTCTTTACAGACACCGCTATTTGAGTAGTAGTATATGAAGAACGCACTTCTCTAACATCTTCGAAATGTTTTTTTTTGTTGTTGTTGTAATGGAATCTTCTAAAGAGCTTTCGGCAATGGACACAAATAACGTAAAAATACGTTGTCATTTAGACAACATTCACACTTTTATTTTCCATCTAACTCTCAAGTACATAATATCCCTTTTCATATATTTCTCTCGGTTTACAGGAAACAAACTGCCCTTATCTTTGTTAGGTTTATCGAGGTTTCCCGCAGGAACTTTACAACGTTGTTCCATTCTATACAAATAAAGTTCTTCAAGAACGAGTAATACTATAGTAATTAGATACCCACTCTGTTATATCTCACATCATATTAATAATTGAAATTCCAAAGCGCCTTTTCTCATTAGCCAATATCAAAGACGTTTAGAATTCCCGTTGATTCCCGAATGACGGAACATGTGAGCCATGCACCCCGCGCGATATTTCGCCCCGATTCTTGTCCCTTCCTCCAATTAAATAACACACAATTACATGCAATATACTAACACACATGTCGGGAGACACCCTGTCTGGATCCTCAAGCTAGTCCAATCTTGGGCGAATGATATTCTTTAGAATCAATAATAGAAAGCAAAGTTTTCAACTATTCTGCATATTTAAGAAGAACCCAAAACAGTGTACTGCTTTATGACAGTAGTTAACAGTGATTTGAATGATTCTACCAAATTAATTGTTTATGCTTCTTTTCAAGAAACTAATTATTATTGTCTTTATAAGGTTGTTTATACGGTATTGAAATTATATCCTCATGAGTGAAAATTCAAGTTTCATGAAACTTAGTGAATAATGACAAATACGATTTTATAATAGTTTATGTGTAAATAAGTACAATATAATTTATTTTTATTGGCTATTGTCTTAAAATACCACGATGCATTCCAATTTATTATATTACAATCCGATTATATCAAGGTTGATTTTGATTTTTTAAAGAAATTTGACATGGATGAATTCTCAATGTTGCAGATGATTCCTACATAGAAGGAAATAAGCTGGTCGATTTCTGCAATATTGTTCTGGAAATCATTCAAGATCAAAAGAGAAAGAAATATCGTGGTCCAGAACCCATTGCAGTATCCATCTACAAGGTAAATACAAGTAATCAAAAAATTATATTATATATATATATAAAAAAATAAAAACGTTTTTCATTAGTGACCTATTCGTAAAAGGTACAAAATCAAACAATTTTGAAATTTTTGTTTTAGTGAAATATTTATGGTTTTCTAACAATGTTTGTATATAATTTATTTTGTAGATATCAGTACATTATTTTATATGACTTGATTTATATTACAGCATCTGTAAAAATAATGAGTACAATACGTAATGTTTGAACTAGCATAATATTGAAAAATTAATTATTCAAGAAGACTGCGGTTTTCTTTATATTTGGCAAGAAGTTTAATTTCAAAATTGCATGCATGTTAGTGCTGTATTTTGATGTTTGTATGAATTTCCCGACGATTTTGGCGAATAGTTACTAGTGTTTTTTGCTCGTTTTTGTACATGACTTTAACGCTTGTTTGAAAAAAAAACAACTTAAATTGTTTTATATAAGTTCCTTTTTCTCGGGATCTACTACTCAAGAAATTGAAATTAGTTCAGTAGGATGCAATATGAACAGTAAAGGTTCTGTGACACGATAATGCAAGTGCACAAATTATAAACTTATGTCGAGAAATTTGTGTATTAATTTTTGACTTAATTTACATTTGCTATGACATAGTTAAGCGGAGTCGTTGTGTATTGTCTCAGTTCTAATGAATGGAAATATTATAAATGTATCAGAAATTATGTGAAATATACTTTTTGTTTTAAAGTATAAGTTTCAAGAATATTCAACAGATAAGTTTCAAGAAAAAAGAAACAAAAAAAGTAAATTTAGCATAGGCGGTACAGGCCGCGTTGAATCCCCTTACGAGCGATATTTTTTCGAATTTGGAAAGTCTTTTTTTTTCTATCAAGTAAAAATGATTTTAAGTGTGCGGTAATAAGAAAAGTGTTCCAGCTTTTACATGCATACAATCAATAAAGGTAATGTAGAATAACCTTATAAACTATATTTCATTCGTTTTTAATACTTTCTAATCTCACTATTATATTTTATTCAATGTAAGGTCTCAAATCAAACATTATTTTACTTAATAGCAGAAAGTTGACCTTCTACAATGTTTTAATGTAAGGACGTTATAAACAGGAAACAAAAGATATAATAATCCTTGAGCTTCATTAACGCGCTCAAACAATCAGTTTGCAGACAAGGCATTTTTTGTGGTTTCTTGCCGACTTGCGGTTGTGCTCCGGGAAAATATAGTATTATCAAAAGATAAGATTGTTAGAATGTTGGACTTGAATTACGACGAATGGAGAATGTATCATTTTCCCTGCAGATTAGAAGCAGGGATTTTGCCCCATTTTACAATTAAAATTTCTCTTAAATGCCGTATGAGAATTATTGCAATCGAGTAATAACTGTCCGTATCAACATATCAGTCAATGGGCGCATACGGCAATAGACGATGGCAACAATGGGCGCACATTTACTTATTAGAATCTTACCAAAAACGCCATTCTTGCGATAAATGGAACTTGTTGTTACGGATTTTATTGCAGTTTCTATATGGCATTCTTTATGGATCACTATTGATTCTGTTTCGAGTACATACAAGTAAGTTTATTTTTCGTCGTGTCTCCAAATATATTCTAAGTTCATTTTTAACTTTTTCATTTGCTTTTAAACTAAGACTTACAACCAAAGAATTGGTCTCTTCATAATTAATATCTTCAAACAGAAATTAAACGTTATAGAAGCTCTGAAAAACAGTAAATTAGTAAATTCCGCTTAAAGATTTCATTTTTGCGGCCGACTCGCCTGCAAAACTGTTCCAACTTTGTATGTTTGCTTTTGACAAAGTTAAAATAGTATGAACTATAAATGGACGACTACTATTATAAACAATTTTTTTAAATTACTGACTTCTATCTTGTCCTTTCACATTAGGTACTTTAGAAATAACGTGTGAATTTGTACCAAATTCTGCAAAATTTCCCAAGCTTAGCGCTAATCCTATTGAATAAAATAAACTAACTTCCAGCACATTATAATGACGTAACGATTATTATAGTATGTTATTTAACATTTTCTTGGTTACATTGATAACAGTTATGAGTCTGAAATATATCTGCTTGCTAGTCAGAGAGCAATGTTTAATAACGCTGCCTCAAAGGATGCACGAGAAATTCGAATTTACCATTTCAATTTTTTTACACTTGCCGAAAATACACAGAATGCGCCGAAAGTAGGAGTAGCATCAATACTGCTCTTTGCTAAATACATTAACAAAAATTAAAGAATGACTTTGGAGTCTTTTCTGATAAAATCATTGTATAAAAATTAATATTTGCCTATATTTGAAACAAACTAAAGCAATAAATACTTGCATTTTCGAAACAATGACCATATTGGAAGATCTGTGTTTGATGATATGTTTTTCATTAAGAAAATATCTATCTTAAAAATAATTGTAGTTGTAGGAAGACACCAAAAACATTTTGAATTCTTGTAATTTTCGAAAGATCAGAGATTTTAACGAACGTGACACATGCATAATTCCCTTAAGCTTCCTTTAGCATCCCTTAAGCACCCGAGGTGAAAATTTAATAAAACAAATTGGTGCTGTTTTTGAGAAAAAATTGTTTAAAAAATTAAAAGTTGACCATATTTCACGGAAAATTACTTCAAAAGTACTCTAATGTTTGAAAAGTTTTACATGACCATATGTTTTTAAAGACAAATTTCTTAAGGAAAAAATCTCTATCTAGTTTCACCTGAGCACGATTTAGTGCTGAGTAAGTAATAGGTACTCAATTTCGTGGATGAAAGTAGTGTTTTCTGCGTTTTCATTAAGCTTTCGCACAAACAAATAAGGTATACTCTTTGACGTCATGACATAGTTTATTTGGTTCATTTAATGCAGTTTTTAGTGCTGGTGGGTCCGGGCACTCCTATGTACTCAAAACTGTAT